TAAATATTACTTTTCTTTAATTGTGAGAATATCAGTGTGCGAAAATTGCCATGTGTAACTTAAGAGTTGTTACAGTTTTTTAAAAAGCAAGCTTGCCTTTCCAACTGCCATTCAGCAAGTATTGTTTCTTGTTTTACACATCCCCATTAAGCTCTCGGCACAGGATTAAACCTATACAATATCTAAACACAGTTCAAAACTGATTCTTAAGGCTAGATGTAAATGGAAGACTCCTAATTCTATGAGATGATTACAGCTAGATTTACTGTTAAGCTACCATACTCTGAGTTATTACCCTGAGATGGGTGTTTTCTCTGGGTATTTACCTAGTTTGTGCTGAATGAGCAAACCAAACATCAAGATTGTTGGCTTAATGCCGAGGTTCAGCAAACAATTGTTCCCGTTTGTGGGCTTAGTTATTTATTTCTGGTTGTTTTCTGCAAGAATTTGTCATACCAAGTCCCTTAAAGGGAATACCTAAAATGTGCTTACACTCTGCATTTTGGGGCAACCCCGTTAATATATTGTTGGTGTTATTGCAAGGGTTGGCACATGGATGGCAAAGATCTTGACTATGCAAATGTGTTGTGTGTGTGTGTGTGTGTGTNTATCTGAGCAACACAATGTGTGTATGGGGGTGGGGGGACTGTTTTCCAGAAATACAATGTTTGGGTTGAAATATCTGACAAAGCGACATGAAAAACCAGAACAACATGGGATTTTAAAATTAGATCTTTGGATTCAAGATGACGCTCGAAATGCCACCGTTTCATACAATTTGGTGCTCTCTTTTCTTTTTCCAGAAGCTACAATGCTCCTGTACTGCATCTCAGATGCAAAACAGCAGGGCAGCACAGTGAAGTTTTGTTCTCCACTCTATGGCCCTCCCGTTGAACAGAGTGCTCCAGCGAAGCACGGGAGGGTTTCATCAGCTGAATGAAGCCACTTAACGACATGTTTGACAGGCCTGCGAGTTCTGTTACTTAATGAGATATACTCCATCCCACCCCTGCCCCAGCAGCTATCCCCTAGGAGTTTTTTTGTCCTTCTGGAAGCAGCACAAACTCTTTCAGGCCATTAGGGTTCCATGTAGCTATTTAATACCCTTGTGGGAATTACTTTATCATTTTAAATCAAGGATCAGCAAA